CTCTCTCTCTCTCTCTCTCTCTCTCTCTTTCTGTGTTAATTCCTCCCTGTGTGTATCTTTGTGTCTCTCTCAGGACCGTGGAGGTGAAGCGTAAAGCTGTGCAGAGGATAGAGGAGCAGCTGATGAAGCTCCAGGTTCAGGCCACAGACAGAGAGGAGAACAAGCAAATTGCTCTGGGCACCTCCAAGCTCAACTATTTGGATCCACGCATCTCTGTCGCCTGGTATTTATGATAGACATTGCTTACCTGTGTTTATTAACTTCCAGATATTATTCCATCACAAATCTCATTACAGTATAAACAAAACCCTGTGACATTTAATGAGTAAACCACCTACTGTTTAATGGGCCATATTTGTCTGGGCAAGTGGGTGGGTGGCTTGTGGGGGCTGCATATCTACCTTGGTGACAGAAAGGCAGGAAATGCTCTTGCATTGTAGGAAAAGGAGCAGCACAAGCAAAAAAGCTAACGGCTGCAGAAGGAAAATAAGAGGAAGAAAAGCGTGTGAGTGCGAGGAACAATGGGGTTTGTTTCTAAAAAACCAGGGAGCGTCCCCAAACAGTGCTCCTTCCTCCATGTGGGAAGTCAATGAGGTGCTGTCTGTGGCTGAATGGAGGGCCAGGCCACAGAGAGCAGGGAACAGTGGTCTGCCCTCGCTAACCCATGCCCCACAGCTATTTCTGGAGAGTCTCCTCCTCAAGCACAATGGAGAGAGGAATGCTCCGTGTTTTGCCCGGTTGTAAAGTGTAAGGGACGGGGTCCCCCTCACAGGGTGGTGCATGGGAACCTGGTCTGTGGTAGTATGTGTGTGAATATGTGTAACAGAGATGAAAACACTTGAGTTGAGTCGGGCTGATTGGTCGTGGGGCTGTCGTGTTTTTCTGTCATGCAGTGAGTATAGTAAGTTTAGGTTCAGCTGCCAAAAACAATGTGTTCTTGTGACTTGTCAGTTAAAAAAACTCATTTTGAATTAATATTTATTTTTTATTTATATAATTTATTAGCAGTCCAACGTGAGCTGTTCCATCACCACCATTTTCAGTAGCTCCCTCATTATGTGGTATATTTTATTACCTCCGACAAGGATGCTTTTTTTTGCCCCTGTCCGTTTGTCAGTTTTTCCGCAGGATTACGTAAAAACTACTGAACAGATTTCAAAGAAAATTGGTGAAAGGATGGGACATGGGCCAAGAACGAATCCATTCAATTTATACATGGATCCTGACAATGGGGCAGATCCAGAAATTTAGTTTCACTTTCTTTAACATTGTGAGACGGGGTGTTTTTCACATTTCCACCGATTTCCCAGAGATTAATTCATTCATATCCATTTAAAATCTGTGACATGCTGTGTAAAACTAGAATCGAGCTCAGGTGTTCCTGCACAGGGACGTGCTGAGAATGGGAAACACTTAAAGGTCCAGTGTGTAAGATTTAGGTGAAAGGGAACTATTGGCAGAAATTTAATGAAGAATAATCCTCATGATACAGTGTGTAGTATTTTGTGATATCTAGTGTTGAAATTGCATGTTGCAGCTGAACACCCCTCACCTTCTAAACATAAAGAAGAACCTGTGGTAGCTTCAGTTGTCATAAAAACTCAAAAGGTGTTTAGTTTGTTCAGTCTGGCCTAATGTAAAAAACATGGCGGCCTCCATAGAGAGGGTCCCCTCGCTGTAAATATAAAGTATTTAAATACAAAGGGTCTTTTCTGGGGTAAAGAAAACTACAGTTCATACGATTTAGATGAAATGAACTAGTGAAAACATCATGAGGATTATTCTACATTAAATATCTGCCAATAGTTCAATTTCACCTAAATCTTACTGGACCTTTAGATATGGAGTGCATTCCCCATAGGTTAGGTTTGTGTGAGGCCCTGGTATTATGCAAGCTGGCTCGTAGTTTTAAGCAATGAGTTAAAACCAGGTCTAATCTCCTCAGGCAAGGAGTTCAAGAGCCTCTGGGTCCTGATTGAAATAAAGCCTGTTTACCCTTCGTTTCAAGCAAGTGTTGGTTAGATCTCGATAAAAACTTGGAGCATAGGGAGTCGGCCAGACTGTGCTGAGCTTTAAAGTTTTTAAAAGAAACTTAAAATCAATCCTGAATTCAACTGACAGCCAATGAAGAGAGTTCAGTTATTAAAAAAAAAAGCAAACAAGCAGTGGTCATGAATCAAGTTCATCAACTAAGAGCGGAAGATTCTCTGTTGACATCTGACTCACTGTCTAGTGCACTTCATGGAATTTCCCATATATGAATAATAACAAGTCATTTTTAGCCTTTAATGCAACTGTGTCCTTTCCTCTCTTCTCCTCTCTCCTCTCTCCTCTCTTCTCCTCTCTTCTCCTCTCCAGGTGCAAGAAGTGGAGCGTTCCCATTGAGAAGATCTACAACAAAACCCAGAGGGAGAAGTTTGCTTGGGCAATCGACATGGCTGAGAAGGACTATGAGTTTTAAAGACACTTCACGTTTTACCTTTTTATACCCGAGCCTTTGATTGTAAAGATGGTTCGTAGTCAAGCGATCACAGTTGCTGTGGTCACTGCAGGGCTGTGAGGGAGGACCATGGATTGATAATTATGTATATATACAGTATATATGCATATATATGAACTGGTTGTGAATTTAGGAAAATAACTTCAACTATGTGGCCAAGCTGGTGAAGAGTGTTGCTCTTAAAAAAATACAAAATCACAGTAGTGTGTATGTAGCTGCGGGTACCTGCCCATGATGAAACAACGATGAACATGAGTATTATCAACGGTACTGAAATTTGAAAGCCATCCGATTTATTGAGACATTCTATATTGTCATAGAATAATGAATGAATTAGGAATTGTTTGTATGGGGGGTTTGTGAGAGGCAACACGAGAGAGGTGATAACCTGATGAATTTCAATTTGTGTGATGAATCCTAACCCTATGCTCATGTAATTATTAGCACACAGAATGTCATTGTTTTCATTTAGTTTGCTGTTTATTTCAGGGATGTACATATTTTAAGCCATTTTTTCAGCTACTATGATGCTTTTTTTTAATGTTTGCATTGTCAACAAAAAGCTCTTCATTGCTCATATGCAACATGTGAATGCCTGTGTGTGTGTGTGTGTGTGTGTGTGTGTGTGTGTGTGTCTGTGTGTGTTTGTGTGTCCACAGTTTTACAGTGAGCTCCTCTAAGTTATTTGAAACTGCCGCAGTAGAGCTTCATGTTCTGTGTGTCCGACCTAAAAGAGACATGTTTTCCAAGAGGGATGTGAATATTGCCAAAGCAAAAAAAAAACTTTTATCATTGTAGTGAACAGTTTTGGCAGAAAGTGTCTTCTTCAAATTGATTTCCAAATGTGAATCGACATTATAACGTTTGTCATTTATATTTCCTGCTATTTAAACATGGATCACACATCTCCCCGATTGGTCGAGTGCTTTCTTGTCTTGAGCTTTGTAGTCTTCAGAATAAAACATCAACTGAGTCTTTTTACAGCTTCTGTGGTTGAAAATAGGATTGAAACAGCTGACTCATGCTCTCAAGTAAACAAAGAGAAACTAAATCCTGTCAAAGTCAATCAACAGTGAGCAGTCGAGCCATTCGCCCCAATAACACACCTCAAAGATAATCGATTAATCAATACTAATCCCTTTTTATTCAGTTGTATTCATCCCTAAAAGAGAAATTATCAAAGTGAACGTATTTTCACAGGAAGGAAGAAGAAAAGAAAACAAAGCGAACAAACATAACAGTAAGATTTTTCTGTTAAAAATTAAAGTTGTGATTAAGAGTTATATTAACATTTAAAAAATAAAGTTGCCTGTTATTTGATGAAGGTGATAAAGAGGGCAAATAGGGACTCTAAGATGCAGATAACAGGCTCCTATTGGACGGATGAGCTGTGTAAAGTGAACTGATCTAATCTGAGCTGATACCGGAGGTTGAGAACGGCTCCAAAATAAATGCATGAAGGTGTTTTCTGCCACGTTCAACTCCTCAGTAGACATGAATATATATATATATATATATATATATAGGGAGAGAGCTCAGTAAAAATGACAAAAGGCCTAAGTAGTTAAATGGGTCAGTAATCTAAAGCCTTAAGTCCTGTCTCTTCCAATATACTGCTAAACTAAATTAGGATCATAATTTATCCTTTTTATGGCAGGTCATCCAAAATATTTCACAAAGGACAGTGCAGGAAATCCATAAACACAAACCTGAGAAAGAGTTCTGAGCTGAAAAATGACATCTGTCTCCCCTTACATATGGATGAGTTGATGTAAAAGAGTTGTTCAGTCAATACCTGTCTAACCTTTATTTACATGTAAATACAAAAATATACAAAACACTTATGTATCCAGCCACGTATCCTGTCATCTTTGATGCACTTTATGAGTTGAAATTCTAATGTGGCAGAAAGGCGAAAACTATATTTTTGTTGTAATCTATTTGAATGTAATGTAATGAAGATAAAAAAAGGTCTAAACAAGATGTGGCTATGCTTTGCTGGTGCTCCTCAGTGTTGAGTATAAAGTAGAAATAAATAAACAAACACATAAACAAATAAATGTACAAATACAGAAATAAATGAACAATTGTAGGAATAAACAAATAAAACAGAAATACAGAGATAAATGAAAACATTTAGGAATCAATCAATCAA